GGGGGATGGGGAATCAGGGATGGCAAGACAAAGGGCAAGGTATGCAGGACGTAAGAATTGGAAAATTATTTGCTGAGAACATATATGTGGATGTACTTGACTGAGTCAATGCACAGTGTATTTTGGATGGAAAATTCATTTGTGTGTTGTGATGGTGTAAAGTGAATTAATAAATAAATTAAAAAAAAATGTTCTTGTGAAATGACCTTAAAACCCTGCCTGTTATACTTGGAACAGCTTTGTAAGGTCTGGCCTCAAGTGCACGTGTACAATGGGCTTTGTAGATACAAACACCTTAATTTTATTTATTTTAAAAATGTAAAGTGTGCTTATTTCTTTCTCCCATGAGTGAGACAGAGACAGGAAGACAGCACCCAGCAGAGTCCTGAGCTCCCCACCTGAGCCAGCCTGGGTCAGGCCCGCTGGATTCAGGGAGGCCTGAGCGAAGCAGCCCCGAATCAGCCGCATGGGGTGCACTGCCCGCTGCTGCACCAGCACCCGCCCCATCGATGGTGTGGGGCATGAGGAGGGCTGACCCTGGGACCAGCAGTTAGCGTGATGGCTATGTCACTGGACTCCCACGTAGTCGACCGCAGTTCGCGTCCCGGACCCGGTGGCTTAAGACTCACGCCGGGCGCGTGTGCGTGCGTGCCCAAGATCCCGAGAGGAGAATGGAGGAGAAGGGATTGCGGCGTGACCATCCCCCCTGGGGGGTGATTTCTCGCTTTCTGTCTCTCTGTCTGTTTCTGTCTGTCTGGCGAGTGCACGCACCCTATAGCAAAAACCTCTCCAAAAGAAAAAGAAAAAAAAGAGAAAAAAAAATTGCTTCAGGACGAGTGTACTTGGCAGAGAGGGACAGACAGGGGACATGAGAAAGCACCCGCCCAATGTGGATGGCCACACCACAGTCCCTTCCCAGTCCCCTCTTGGGATTTTGGCACACGCACACATACCACTGGCATATTTTTCAAGCCACCAGAACCAGGACTAGAACCCCCTAGTCGGACATGTGGACCCAGCCACCTTAACCACCACGCCACCAGTTGGTTCTTATCATTCTTTTGATGATACGGTAGATTAAAAAAAAAAAAAATTGTGTGTGGATTTTGAAAGAAAAACAGGGAGCTCCTTATCATTTTTTGGTATACTTTTGCACTGATAATTTATAATAGGAAGTATATGTAACAACACATTTTAAACAAAAAAATTTCTAATTATAGAATATGACTTACCTGGGACCAGCAGTTAGTGTAATGGCTATGTCGCTGAACTCCCATGTAGTCAACCGCGGTTTGAGTCCCGACCCAGAGGTTTAAACTCACGCTGGGTGCATGTGCGTGCGTGCCCAAGATCCCAAGAGGAGAATGGAGGAGAAGGAATTGTGGCGTGGCCATCCCCCAGAAGGTGATTTCTCACTTTCTATCTCTCTGTCTTTCTGGCGAGCACATGCGCCCTTTAGCATAAAAAAAACCTCTCCAAAAAATAAATAAATTAAATAAATTAAAAAATAAAGAATATGACTTACCTGGATCCTCGAGAGAGTGGCATTAAATTATAAAAGTAATAAACTAAGGATAAGATTAAATTGCAGACAGCATCAGCCTCCTAGAAAAAAAGACAGGCTTGTGAACTGAAATACCGGGTTTTCTCTATTTTCAGTGTCTACCAGTCAGTCCATTTTCCCGCTGTTAACCTTTAACCTTAAACTAATTTTTCATTAGGTGAATGGGTACAAAAGAATCTCTTCTATCACTCTTCATTCTCCGCTTCCTTCTTCTCCTGTGAGAACCTACTTCTCACACTCTCTACACTCCACCGCATCGCCATTCCTAGTCAAAGTGCACGTTCCGTTCAGTTGAATGCACGCTTCTCCAAGCTGCTCCTAAAACTGCTACCTCCCTGATAGTGGTATTCGGAATGTCAGATATATATTGCGAGTAAAATTATAAGGCACTCGTTGGTACCAGATACACCTTCTCAAACTTGTACCCCAGCCTTGAAAGAACTGGAGGCACGCCCCAGCGTTCCACCCTGGGATTTAGATGATAAGTGTTTAATTATACGAAGAAATTTAAATGTGTCATTATATGATGAACTGATTGTCAGAACAATAAAGTGCCTTCCTGAGGGTCCTCACATCCCCTTCAGAGCATGGGATCCCACCCTGCTTGCTCACAGACTGGGCAGACCCTGTCTCTAGAGCCCACCTCTGGCGGGACAGACCTTCTCCGGGGGAGGAGGTTGCAGCCCAGGCCAGGGCCACCGAGTGAAGGTACATGTGCACGACTCCTGTGCACGGCAGCACCCTCCCCAGCCGGAGTGCAGCATTAGCTCCCGCCATTAGCACGAGCTCCTCGTAAACAGCTGTAAGCAACAACCGCAACCCAGCAGAGAAAATGGTAGAGCAAAGTGGGGACATGGCCATTTTCATTACGGACGGACTTTTTCATTTCAGTGTGATCAAAGCCCAAACGTAGCACAGTACTGAGGGTACAGATTACACATTCGTCGCCCGTTACTGCAGTGAGGGAGTACGGGACCCTTCTTGCTATGAGAATATTCACAAATAAAGGCTGGCAGGTCGATTCGATCTGATTTCCTAAGAAGAAATCTCGGTCATCTCACTGAAAACACAAACATTTTAATAAACTTGCTTGAGGGTCACAGGAAGAGTGGGAATGGAGACAGAAACCTACCCCAAACTCTGATGAAAGAGTCAGCACTTTCCCTTTGGCTGTCAGATCTTTATAAAGTGCATCTATTTCGGCATGATATAATTGTGTCCTTTCTTCTGTGGTCTGCGTTTCCACAGAAAACAGTATATTGCCAACCCTAAAATACAAGGATGAGGGTCAAAGGCACGTATTACACAGCTCAGCTGGCAGAACCCACAGTAACATGAGGGAAGAGCAGGCCGACGTGGCACCAAACCTTTCTGACGACGGGCAGGGCGGGCATGTTTCCGAAGAAGGCAGTTTCTCTGAGAAGTGTGCTGACACCTTGCTCACATCAGGTGAGCCACGTGCCCTGGTAAGAGTTTACACCCACCGTGGGGACACAGCTACACAGAGCAAAGACTGCATCTAAGTGCTCGGTTAATACGCCGACGCCACGCCCTCTCCTGAAGCCCAGGAGCAGAGGTTTCAGGGTTCTGCTTCTTGCTCAGCCCAGGGAGGCTCATGGAGGCCGGAAGTTTGATGCCACAGGGAGCTAGCATGGCGCCAGCAGCAAGGGCTTCCGCCAGGTTTTAGATCCTCCACACGAGAGGATGCGATGAGGCGGGAGACAGGGCCGCCCGTCATTAGGAGACCAGGCCTACGACCAGAGTGCAGCTCAGCGTGTACCACTGGGGCAGCGGGCTCTCATCGGGAAGACCTGGAGAAAAGCAGGCATGTGGCTCCGAGGTCCAAAAGTCAGGGTGGAGGGAGGTGAGCTCATGCTGGCAGGCCAGCTTCAAGTCCCCGTCAAGGGGTCTGGGTCAAGCAGTAACTGTCCTTGAAGGCTGTTGGGGGAGACCCTGAATGCTCGCAGGAAGCTAGGGTCTTCAGGAATGCTGCAGGGGCTGTGCGGAAATAGGAAACAGGACACCAGCCATGGGCCTCCCCAGGGTGACAAGGCCCCAGCAGGAGGGTGGCAGGCAGGGTGAGACGGGACACCAGCTATGGGCCTCCCCAGGATGACAAGGCTCCAGCAGGAGGGTGGCAGGCAGGGTGAGACGGGACACCAGCTATGGGCCTCCCCAGGGTGACAAGGCCCCAGCAGGGGGGTGGCAGGTGGGGTGAGATGGTGAGACGGCAGCCGAGGAAAGCCATGGCTTTCAGAAGGAATCCCAGGCACCCTCTTATTTAGGAGTTCCAGCTCCACCTGGAGTTTACCTGAGGATAAGCACCAGGATGTGTGAGAAGGGAGGAGGGTGATTTCTACCATCGACAGCAAACCCAGGACTCCTGTGGGAGAGTGAGCCCTCCCGGGAGAGGAGTCTGGTAAGTGGCCTGGGTAGAGACTCAAAAGCCAGGACACGGAAAAGTCACAAAACCTTCAAGTGACTGAACTAGTGTGTACTCATGAAGGCCTGGGTAGGAGTGACAGGCGACGCCAAGGGGCGGCACCTCGTAATCTGGCAATCCTGCCCCTGCTGAGCTGGCAGAGGCCACAGGAGGACCTGGGGACGGGGCGGTGTGTGTGGGGTAGCACACGGAGACTCCACCGCAGATCAAGGGATATGGGGCTTCTAGCTGCCGTTGGTGTACAGATACAAATAAAACCACAGTTCAAAATGTTCATTCCAGAGCTATCTGTACAGTTTAAAAGTGGAAAGTAACACTCAGTGATCAAGAACAAGGACAAGCAGGAGGAGAGCCCTGTGCCCTGTCACTGAGACGCATGCGTGTACAATAATAGAATGGGAGGAACGAGACCAGTTATAAAACCACATGTACAGTGTAATCTCCGTTCTTAGAGAAAGCTACCTGGGCCGGCCCCGTGACCCAGTGATTAAGGGTGCCAGATACCATCTGGCCAAGTGTGGTTCAAATCCCAACCCTGGACTCGCAAACCATGCCGGCTGCTCAAGACCGTGACAGGAACAGAGGCCAGGAATGTGGCATGAGCACGCCCCTCGGGAGGGTGCCTTCTCCTCCCCCTCCCTCAGGTGAGCACACGCTCCCTCTGGTAATTAAAAAAAACCCTTTATTTTGTTCATTTTGCTTCTCTGTACATTCTAATAAATGCTCTACAATAAGACTGTAGTCCTTCTGTCGTAAGTAAAACCTGTATTTTAGAAAGTCTTACACTGGCTTTCAATCTCCCAACCTCTCGTCTTTTCTCATTTTATCCTAAAAAGCCTTCCCCCACAGTGAACTCGAAACTCTCAGCGGAGCGAGCTCACAGCCACCTAGACATCACACCGTGTCCCGAGAGTCGGGACCCAGCATGGTCGGGGAGCGTGTCTGCTGGTGTCACACTCTGAGGCCACCCGGGTGAAAGTATGGCCGGCCATAATGCGGGAGGGACCTCGGCACTTCCCGCCAGCATGGGGCAGCAGCCCACGTGACGAACCTCCCCGGGAACACCACGCGGTGCCGGCCCGGTTTCCGTCCACAGAAAAGGGGCACGTACTTGTCTCCTGTGACGGTGATGGTGAAGCCGTCGTACTCCTTCCCCTGGTCTCTGAGGCTGGGGACTTTGGTGTTCACGGTGAACCCGTCCTTCGTTTTCGTGTTGAACTGCTTTCAGGGGAGAAGGAGACTCACGTTACTGGAGCACTCACTGAGGACCCCCACTTGGATTCCGCAGTGCTGGCCTCCATCTCGAGGTGCTTGAGAAGGTCACAGGAGTGTCCTGGTGCGGGAGACCACGTGCCAGGACCACGTCCAGTGGCAGGACCACGTCCTGGCAAACAGCGCTTGTCTTCAAGCCTCACAGACTGAGAGCCCAGAGACACTGCCAGGGCCCCTAACAGAGACCCTCAGCACCAAGAGCTCACAGGCTTCCTCAATTTAATGCTTACCTGGGCCTGGAATCACTCATTTCCCCCCTAGACACTAATTGCCACCTAGTTTTAATATACACTGACTTTTCAGGAATGCAAGTGGGAGGGA